GAAGGAAGGAAGGAAGGAAGGAAGGAAGGAAGGAAGGAAGGAAGGAATGTCTACCTTCAATAGAAAAAATTTTGTTTTGCAAATTCTCTTGTATTTTGTGAAGCGCCTCAAAGCCTTCCACTTGAAACATAAACTCGTCAGGTGGAGCAGATGCAATCGTTTTGAGTTCTTCGTTCGCTTCATTGCGTAAAAATGCATTTCCCACCTATGTTGGAAAAAAAAATTGAATGAGGAGATACACTTTGGTATTTTAAATAGTTCATTTAAACTCAAAATAAATCATTTAAAAGTTTGAGCTCACAAAGCACCTTAAAAACAGTTTATATGTGAACACTTTACAAATATTTAAGTAAAATACAACTGTTTTGAACTTTGATGTTAAAAAAGTATTGGGCAATCGTTAAGTTACAGAATTCTCCATATCTGAAACTTTCTGTGACAGCAGATAATATGAACTAATTAAAAAACATTTTCTTTGTATTCTGACAAATCAGTTAGGCTTGTGTGAGTCAGCTGAAATTAATCCCTCTTTTTTAATGCATGCATACTACACTTATGTTGATGGAAATAATTGGTAGATGCTTACCCCAATAGCAAATCGAACAATGTTTTTACCATTTGCTAATCTTATTGCTTCTGGAAGGTTTTGGCCATCATTAGATTCTCCATCTGTAATGACAATTAAGATCTTCTTCACGTTTGATCTGGAACCTTTATATGGTGAGAAGACATCAATCCTGTCAAAAAATTAAAAACATTTCAGTTTGTGTCAGTATGTAAATATAATACAGTATTGCCTCAAATAAATGTAACTATTTGAAAATAAGCAAAGTAATACTATGCTGGTTGTGTAAAAAAAAAAATAGCTTGAAGTAATGTAACCCTTTAACAACAGATTTACTCACACAACATTTTGGATGGCTGCAGCTGTGTATGTCCCTCTTTCCATTTGATCAATGCTATCGATTTGTATTTTCCAGTCTGAAGTGCTAAATGTGTTGAAGTAATAATGAGTTTGAATTTCAGTGGAAAACTGGGTAATGGCAAACTGAAAGAAAATAAGGACAAATATGTTTTAAAGCAAATCAAACAGAAATTTCTTTCAACCAGCAAAATGAAATGTAAAGCAAACAATAATGTGCATTTTATATTAAGAAAACAAATCAAAGTTATATACTTGAGCTTTTCTTTCATTTTTTCATTTGCACTTTCAGTTTTTATAATTGGGGAGATATTTGCCTCAACAAGCTTTCATGCTCCTAGAAAGCTCTTATAACAAAAATATAAATGACTATAAAATTATAAACTTCAGTCTTACTTGTGCATCCTTTCCCAGAAATGCACTGATTAGATCTTTCACAAAAGTCTTCATTCTAATAAAATCATCAGCAGATACACTTCCTGAGCCATCCAACAGAAAAGCAATGTCAGCTTGAGTTTGACACTCTGCAAAGAAAAATGAAATCAGCGTTTAAAACAGACTTTCACATCCAAAATCTTTGATTGTATCCCTTTTTGCTCTTGCATAAAAGTGAACTTTTTGGTGGATGAGTGTGTTAAAAAAGCAGTCACATACTATCATTACAACTATCATCACATTCCAACTATTATAATTAGACTTTGTGTGTGAGAAACAGTGAGTGATCATTGTGTGTTTACCTTCAGGAGAAGATGGGTAAGAACGTCCAAATCTGTTAAGCTGATTTATCTCGAAGCACAAACCATTGTACATTGTGATTGTTTTGCAGTCTTTAGGAATAGTTGGTCCGCATGCCTGAATAAAAGAATCAACTTTCATTAACAGGTTAAGTACTTAATTGTTGAATTTGTTTGCTTTTAACCTGACATTTTCAGGTAAATTAAACAACAAAAAACTACATTGTTTTAAAGTCTGTTGTTCAACGTCTGTCTCACCAAAGTGTTCTGAGTTGAAGGATCGCTGGTCATTGCCAAACCAAGGGACATGTTGGTAACAGTCGTTTGCTCTGGAAACATTCAACAATCTTAAAACACAAAGACTCTGAAAACTGTTTCAAAATGATGACCTGTAACACCCATTCGTCATGTTAAACAATACTGCAGACGCTGCACCAATCCATCTGTCGATCTCACGCTCCATTCTTCCCTCGCTCGTGAACAAAACCCTGAGATACTTGAACTCCTCCACTTGAGGCAGAGCCTCACCCTCGACCCGAAGAGAGCAATCTTCAGTAATCTTGAGCATTATGTTTGTTTAATCTAGTAATTCTGAATGAGATGTCAGACTGTTCCTTCAATAGAAAAATTAAATGTGAACTAGTTCAGTTTCTCCTGTTGCTGAATGCTGCAAACTTAACTAAATATTTTACAGGAAGAAAGTGATATATTCCCATACATTTTCATATCAAAATAAAGCGATATCTTAGAAATTTCACCTTATCTTCTAAAGTTTATTTTACTTGAGTATTTTTTAAAAAGGAAACATTTTAGTTAAGAATTCTTTAAAAATGTATTTTGGTCTTCCTTATCATTCACATAATGGTATTTAAACTCATGCATGCAAAGCACAATAAATAGATGGGGTTTTTTTATGTGTCAAAGCCTTTTATTGTGAACTTTTTAAACATTTTTGTTTGGAAAATAGTTATTAAACTTATCCTTACCTTGAAGAGGTGTGCAGCTCGTAGTTGAGCATGAAAATATTTTACCCCTTCCATTTCTTGAGTATTGTTCAAGGGGGGCACTGACGAGCAAACTAAGGAGACACAACCAAACCACAGACTTTTATTTCATAACTTAGAAAACCTGTTTCTGACCTTATAATCGATGCATGCATTTAATAAAGTTGCAAACTGGTTGAAAAAAAACAACAACATTTATGGCGTCATTATTGATATATTCAATGGAAAACTGATCCGACTCACTTAAATTGTCTTTGAACCACCTGGTAACCAAAACCTGCAGCTGGATGGCTGAGAGACTTCCAAGCAACTGGGTCAATGTTGAAACAATGAACCGCTTTTAACACTGAGAAACAAAGAAAAATGTTTATTTAATACAGAGACATAAGGTACAAATGAAAAACAGAGTTTCTGCTGCAGTCTCCCTGCAAAGAACCAAAAAGAGCCCCAACTACAGCAGATCTGTTTAGAGATCATCGACTAACTTGTCCCATGTTTCATGTCACCATAAATGCTGTTGGATTCTTCTGTTTTTCACCAGGTAAAAAAAAAAAAACTTTTGAAATTATGCACAAGAAAATTGCTCATACTGTATCACATATAATGAATCTGATGGTAAATTAGTTTCCTTCCATCCATTCTTCCATCTACCCATTCAGAAAGTGTGGGAGCTGGTGCCCATTTCCAGCGGTCACTGTGTGAGAGGCAGGGCACACTCTGGACAGATGGCAAGACCATCACAGGTAATTTAGATTCATTCAATTTAAAAATATATAGGAGTGGAATATTAACACCACAACTTGAGTAAAACAAACAAACAAAAAAAAAAACAGGAGATTGTTTAATTGGTAACATATTCAGACAGATTTAAAGAGAATGAGTTGCACACTCGAAAATACATAAAATTATTTCTGTTATGTATAACAGAATATATATGTATGTACATATACATACATGTATGCATGTATATATATAATTGGAAAGAGGCACAAGCCTTTTTACCTGTCCCAAAAGCGGTTACGAATATGATCCAGTCCATTGTGTTTCTCCCATAGAAAGTGTGATGCTTTCCCTGGTTAAACACATTTACTGTGTTTAGGAAACTGTAGAGCTACAGTATGTCCCCTAAAGATAAGAATGAAGGAAGTGACAACAGAATGCTCAAAAGATAAAGGAACTCCACAAGGATATTAACGGACTGTTTCTAATAGAGGACTTACACCACTGACACGTTTCCTTTTGACAAAAACGCTGCTCTCTTCTGTCTTGGGGTGGCAAACAGACAAGAGAAAGGAACTGTAACAATTTCTTCACGTTTAAATAAAGACTCTGGGATCTTGAGCTGTACAACATTCAAGCTGCAAACACTGAGACATATGTAACACCACAGCACACTGTTGTTTTCTTGCTCCTGTCTGGCTGTATGGTGTCAGTTTTATTCAGTGCTCAGGCAGAAAATCACACCAGGCAGTAACATCCATCTTGTGTCAAATCCAACTACACTTGAAGGCATGTAGCAATAATGAAGGGTGAGATGGAGGAAGAAGGGTGACACTTTCTCCTCTCCCCTCCACTACATTTTCTTTTATTTACTTTTCATTCATTAAAGTGGGGCACCAGCTGGTCAGTTTACTGACCAACAACAACTTAATTAATATATTCACCCTTTAATAACCAGAATCAGTCACTGAAGTAGAATCTGTTAATTACAGAGAGTTCTACACCATAACAAATAAATAGTCATCCGAATGAAGAGACCAAAGTTGTCCTTGAAATTTTATTACAAAAATAATCAAAGTAAAATCAACAGCAACAATAAACAAGCAATAATAATGACTCAATTAAGGCTTAATTCTCTTGTCTAAGGCAAAATTCACTCTTTGAGCAGGAATTATTTCAGTTTTATACGCACATGAATTTAGACAAAGTTTGGCTATTTTAATAAATAGTTTACATTGGATTTTGGTTGAAAGAAGTTATTTAATGTGATCAGATGAAGTCATTTATTATCACTGCAAGCCAGGCAATGCTTTACCAAGTTCAAAAAAGTCCATGCTCAATAATCCAGGTATACAATCCAACAATTTTCAGTCAGGTCATCTGGACTGTTTCTTTTCTTTTGCTGAAACATTTCACCTTCCAGTCAGAAGGCTTCATCGGTCAAGGAAACACACAACAAAAACTGATTCTTCCCCCAACAGCTTACTCCAAAGTGGAACAAACCAGTTATGTTGGTGCTAAGATGGTCTCTTTGGCACGCCCCCTCCTCTTGTGCCAGCCCTCTTCCTCATCGACAGTCATGTCAAACTGGTTCATAACCAAAAAAGTCCATTCTCAATAATCCAGGTATACAATCCAACAATTTTCAGTCAGGCTTTATCAAGTTGCATCAGCTAAAATGACATCACCAGAACAAGAATTGCATCATATCACACAGGTGTTTTAAAAGAATGTGAGGCTGAATTGTATTAAATGCTGATGAAAAGGCAATAATAATATGAATAATAATACACAAACATGTCTTAGGGTTGTCTAAATGATTATGGACCTTATCAAGAAGGGAGGAAGTGGCATCTTCGCTCGGGATGCTACTGGAAATAGACAGCAAGATCGGTTGACCTAACTTGTATCTCGTGTTTTAATCATGTTATTGTTTTCTGAGAAACTTAGGGGAGAGTGTTTTGCTTTATCCTTCCCAGTAAATCAGAAATCTGTTGCCTTTCTATATCAAACATTACATGAAGGTACTGTACTTTAAAAAAGTTGTGTAAAGACCAACATGGTACATCACACAAACAGTACCAGGATGAAACTGTTCAGGGTTGTAGAACAACCGTGTTTATTAAATTCTGATCAAGTGTCTGATTCATTTGAACAGAAAAAAAAAACTACGGAGTTCGGTTTCTGTATTACAGCTTTAACAAATTTATTCTCAAAACAACTGCTTTTTTTTTGGTACACATTTTTAGCATAAAATTAGCTTTAGGCAAATCATTTTCAGAGATTTCACATTTTTACAAATTGTGGAGAAAACGAATGCAACCAAAATTGTATTTTTTTCCAAGCATAAAATGAATGGAACAAATTAATGTGTTTACAGAAATTTTTAGACAGACACATTTACCTGAACACCAAAATGGGCAGTTTAATTCAGAATATAAAATTAATATTTCACTTTAAAGAGCCACAAATTATCATATGAAAGAGGACATTATATAAAAAGTGTGCTCAAGATTTTCCCCATGTACCCTATAGCAGATTCCATTTACAATACCTTGTAGTATTTTTTTGATTATCCGAATGTTTTTAGTAGTGCTTGGAATCCATTTTTCTAAAAGTACATTTAACATTTACTGTGCATCACCAAGTATATCCCTTTAAAAAAATCCCATTTTACAAATTCACATCTTTTTTTATTTATAAATCCTAGCTGAACGTCTTTCACTGAAAATTTGAATTAGAGTTTAATCCTTGTGTGGGTGCACCTCAACCATTCTTTTGATCAGCTTCTCCATCTACCGGTGCACTTCCATCAACCATCTGATTGTATTTGCTCTTAAAAAAGCCAGCCTGTGACCAAAAAAGAAAGTGAAGGAAACCAATAAAAAAACAGCATTTTTTTTTAATGTAGTATGAGTGTGGCATTGTAAATAAATTGAAACAGATGAATGAATGACTTTTGAAATGATTTTGGAATGATGAAATTTGTTTTGTTGTCACTTTTAAACTAAAAACCTTTGTAATTTACTAAAATAATGTAGTGACTCACCTTATACAGACCAGCAGTGAGAAGAACAAGAAAAGCCAGTCCTCCCAGAGATCCTCCTATGATCTCTTTGGTAAAATCTGGTTCAGGAAACACTTCTACCTCAGCCTCAATCTGAAAGACAAGTTGAAAGAACATGAGAACATTTCAAGCTCTCATATAGCTTTGAAAAATGTGCATATGATATGTAGTCACCTTGCGCATAAAAGGGGTTTTATTAGAGGTTGTTGAGATGAAGATGTACTTGTTTCTGTCGTATTCTAAACTGGCCGTACTGGTCAAGATAAATTTGGCAGATGGAAGTCCAATCTGAAAAAATGAAGAAGACGGATGAGCCTGTTTTGTTTACAGGAAATTCCTGGTGCTTTTAAATTATTTTTGAGCTGATTCAGTTTGATGATTTAAACAACGTATTATGTCATTTCTAGTCAGAACCAGTTGCACATTTCAAGTAACACCAACCAAACATCAGTTACCTGCTCTATCCACCTTGAGCTGAGGTTTGCAGAGATTTCATATTTTTTGTTCTCGTTATTTTTCATGAAGATGCCGCACCTGAACACGCTGCACCTCGCTACAGAGCAGTTCTGTGGGTAACAAACGCGAAGCAAACTGCGGTATTGTATAAAGTTACTTTCTTATCATATATTTCAACAGGCTAATTATACTTACCACCATTTTATGTTTTTTAATCTGTGCAACATCTGTCAAAACAGGTTCTTCATATTTTTCTCTCTTACAATCTGTAATCTGAAAATGGAACTCATTTATGTCAGTTTTTATCATGTTTAATTTATCTTTTTGTAATTTGTTATAGCATATTTTACCTGCAGACTGTTTTTGTCGACCCAAATGTCTTTGTCACCAAGCCTCACCGGAACCTTGATAACAACTGTAAAATTCAGCTCTCTGAAACTATTACTAACCTAAGAGAAGTAGAGGAAAAACAAGGTTTCAGCGGATTATTACACTTGAGGTTAAGGTCTAAAGAGTTAATTAAATTAAAGATATTGATATCAGATGTAAAATGAAGTTACCTTTATTAGCTGTTTGAATGGTTTTTGCAAATTGTTTTTCCCAAATGTGAAATTGTTGTAGCTGCGAGGGCTGAACAGATGTCGTAAACAATTAATGAAGATTTGCTAATAAGAGTTTTAAACTATAATCACCATTAGATGTTGTTTCTTCGTCTAAAGTGGAGGAAACTGACCTTTCGATTGCAACTGAGATGCTGTGCTTCACTTCAATCTCTTTCTTCTTGTAAAGTTTGCTGGAACTGGCGTGTTGCTGGTTTTCACTGAAGAGTCCAAAAAGAATATATTAATTTTTGTTAAGTATTTCTGCTCCAAGAACAGTAGCTCTAATAAAAATAAACTATACCTTGTGGCATTTGCTGTGACAAAGATTGTTTTGCCAAGTTGTGTGTTTTGCTTGAACCCATATGAGACAATAAAGATGGCCTAAAATGAAATAAGATGCAGAGTTCTGTTTTGGCTCAACAGTCAGGGCAGCAGAGAGCGGCAGCAAAGAAGGAAACTAACCTCGGAGTTGCTTTTGAAAATAGGTTTGTCGACAGTGCAGTCCGTCTTTCCTCTTGTTTCACCATCTTCACTGTCCAAGGAGTTGCACTCAATTCTCCCCTGCATGAAAAGACCAAACATCTGTAAAACTTTCAGGTGCTCCTGATCAGAGAACTGAACAGACTTGATGTCTTACATGCAGAGATGTAAACTTCCTGTAGGAGAGCCCAACAGGATATGTGAGAATGATGAGACTGTTGTAGGAGTTTTCCCCTCGGTTCTTCATTGAGATGGTCACATTCAAAAGCTCATCATAGCCTAATTTTACCTCTGAGGATCTGAAAGAGTTTAGACAAGGTATTATGTCGTACTTCATAATATTTTTTCTTTAAAAAAAATTGTGCAAACTTTGATGTCAGTAGACATTAGCCTCCATTACCATCACAAACTTGCTCATGAGAATTAAAGCAGAGTGCAAAACTAACACCAGTTTATGGAAATAAGAATGCCAATGTGGTTCAAAACATCAAAGTTCATGTGCAATAATCCAGATAGAAAATCCAACAAAGTTCAGTCAGGTCATCTGGATGGGTTTTTTTTTTTTAGGTCCTTCATCCAAAGGACTTCATCAAGTGGCTCCTCGGATTGATGAAGTCCTTTGTATAAAAAACGAAACATCTCAAATAAATAAATAAATAAACCAACCAGATGACCTGACTGAACTTTGTTGGAAGAATACCAATGCTTCTCAGATAAAGTGACACACAAAAGGCATCTGTAAGGCAAATATGAGATTCCTGTACAACCACTTAAAGAAAAATACCTTCCCATTTCAAGTTTTACCTCCACAAATCAAGATCTAGAATTCAACTCAGCAATAAAAGACATCTTGCCAAGCAAAGTAAACAAAAGAGAGACTGTTGTCCTTTGAAAAATGTGTTTTATTCCTGTTTTACCCCTTAAAAGAAGAATCCTGTCTATTACAGTCTTCAGTGACAAAATATCTGAGAAGTGTTTCAAATTCTTTTTTTTTTTTTTTTTTCATTTAGCCTTTATTTATACAGGTAGTCTCATTGAGCCATGAGAACTCATTTTCAAAAGTTCAAGTTTTCAAATTCACTTTTTCCTCTTGAGTAAAGTAAAAAAAAAATGTTTTAAAAAAGAAAGCTAATCCACTTAGCGTGCAAATGCAATGCACTCACGTGTAAAATAACATCACACACATGCAAAGCTTCACTGTTGTATTTTGACCTCACCTGGTGAAGTTGAGATCTACTTTTAAGTTGTCTGTGCAAAACATGTCAGCGCCACAGCTGATCTCAAACTTCATCTGTGAAAGACAGAATGACGTTAAATTGGGTAAATAAATAAGAGCTGAGCCTTCCAATGGTTTCATGTAAAATACTCAATACGACATCAACTTCAAAAAGTATTTGCAAAGGTATAAAGATCATGTTGTTCAATTAATATAATTTGTTTCATAGTTGAAGGGACGGTGGTGCAGTAGGTAAAGCTGCCGCCTCTCTGCGAGAAAGTTGCCAGATCGAGTCACCGCTGGGGGGCTTTTCTGGTTGGAGTTTGCATGTTCTCTCCGTGCATGCGTGGGTTTTCTCCAGGTACTTGTTTCCTCCCACAGACCAAAAACATGCATGTTAGTCTCTAAATTGTCCCTAGGTGTGAGTGAGAGAGTGAATGGTTGTCTCGTTTGTCTCTTTGTGTCCCTGTGATGGACTGGAGACCTGTCCAGGTTGTCCCCTGCCTCTCGCACAGTGACTGCTGGACATGGGCAACAGTGACCCCCGCGACCCAAAAAGGAAGAAGTGGGTAAAGAAGATGGATGGATGGATGGATGGATGGATGGATGGATGGATGGATGGAT